TATAACGTTTCGGAAATTCTAGCAATCCAATCACATAGATAAAGATCTTGTGATTGGTTTCCTTGATTCTTGAACATTGATGCAAGATTGAATGATTAGAGTGTTAGGTCTCCTCCTTCTCTCTCTGAAATGCTCTCCCCTCTCTAAAATTCTTAGAAAATCACCCCAAAATAAGCCCCAAAACCTATTTATCAAAATGGGGTCGGTTTATGAAAATAGGAAAATAAGCCTCCGAAATCAGGTCTGCTCTCAGAATAGATATGCGGGGTCGCGGAATGCATCACGAAACTAGTGCCAAGAACTGGGCTACACAAGGCCATTCTGTGATCATTTTGCGGTCGCAGAACACTTCTGCGGATCGCAGAATGAATCTGCGATCGCAGAATTTGCCACTGGTTTGGTCATAACTTTTTGTAGGGGTGTCCAAATAACGAACGATTTGAATTGTTGGAAACTAGACTCGAAGTTCTTTCATTTGATTGGTTTTGAATCACATAACTCCTTATATAAATGTATATATGCTCATCCAAAGTGGGGTCTTGTGCGTACTCATTTGAAATTTTAGTCTATCATATAATTTTCCAACTTGCCTTAGACTTAGGCCTTTCTTTTTACCCTAAATCACTTATAATATGTCTCATACACTTATTAAAATATCCAATTGGTATTCATCATATTAATAGTCCTCGTTTGCATACAAAATAATATAATTAGCCAATCTAGGCACCACGAAACCATAAATTACTTACCGAATTTGTTTTCGTGGCCTTACAGAATATAGTCATCGGCTCTCCATGATCGTTCCTCCTTTTTAGCATTGTAGGGCTGTAAAATTGGAATTCCGCCTGATTCTAAGATTTTCGTGTGCTATAGACTACGCAATTGCATGGGTCCAGGCATCAAGACACGAATCGCCTTAATTTATGTCGGTCCATCAATAACGACCTAAGTAACACTAGTCATCACTTCGCCATGACTGTTCCTTATTTTTTTAGCTTTTTAGTTATAAAATTTAAATTCTGCTAGATTTCCTCATTTTCGTGTGTTATAGCGTGTCCCATAAGTTTGGGTCCACCGACCGAACCCGGATCGCCTAGAATTTTTGCCAGCCTATAAAAAGGACCTAAGGAACATTAGTGATCATCTTGTTATGACCGTTCTTTGTTTTTTTGGTATTTTAGGTCCGTAAAATAGGAATTCCGCATGATTTCCATATTTTCGTATGCTATATAGCCCGCGCCATTTGAATGGGTTCGAGTGACTGGACGCGAATCGCCAAAAAAATTTCAGCCCATCAAAAACAATCTAAGGAGCATTAATCATCCCCTCTCATAACCATTCCTCATTTTTTGGCATTTTAAGACCATAAAATTGGAATTCTTCCCGAATCCCAAATTTTTGTGTGTTATAGCCTATGCCATCTGCATAGATACAGGCGTCCGGACCTGAATTGCCTAAAATTTTATCATCCCATCAAAAACAACCTAAGGAACATTAGTCATCGCCTTTCCCTTATTGTTCCTCATTTTTTGGTGTTTTGGGCCATATAACTGGATTTTCGCCAGATTTCCACATTTTTACGTGCTACAGCCCACGCTATCTACATGGGTCCAGGCGTCCAGACCCGAATCCCCTAAAATTTTGCCTCCCTATTAAAAACAACCTAAGAAATATTAGCCATAGCTTATCCATCACCATTGCTCATATTTTAGTATTTTAGGGCCATAAAACTAGAATTCTGCCCGATTCTCATATTTTCATGTGCTATAGACCAACGCCATCAGCATAGGTCCTAGTGTCCAGACCCGAATAGCCTAAAATTTTATCGGCCGATAAAAAACGACCTAAGGAACATTAGTCATCTCCTAGTCATGAACTTTTCTCATTTTTTGGCGTTTTAGGACCATAAAACTAGAATTTTGCTCGATTTCGAGATTTTCGTGTGCATAGCCCATGTCATTTGCATGGGTCCGGGCGTCCGGACCCTAATCGTCTAAATTTTTTAGCCCTTCAAAAACACCCTAAGGAATATAAGTCATCGTCTCGTCATGACCGTTCCTCATTTTTAGGCATTTTAGGGCCATAAAACTAGATTTCACTTGATTTCTAGATTTTTGTATGCTATAGCCCTCTCTATAACATGGGTCAGCTCATAAAAATAACCTAAGGAATATTAGTCATCGCCTCGCCATGATCGTTCCTCATTTTTTGGTATTTTAGAGCTGTAAAACTGAAATTCCACATGATTCTAAGATTTTCATGTGCTATAATATAACAACATTAGCATGGGTCCAGGCATCCGGACCCGATCGCCTTAGTTTATGTCGGCCCATCAATAACGACCTAAGTAACATTAGTCAGTGCTTCTCCATGAACGTTCCTCATATTTTAGCGTTTTAGTTATAAAATTTGAATTCCACCAAATTTCCTCATTTTGTATGTTATAACCCACACCATCTGCATTGGTCCAAGTGTCCAAACATGAATCACCTAAAAAAATTTCCGGCCTATCAAAAATGATCTAAGGAACATTAGTCATCACATCGCCATGACTTTTCCTCCTTTTTGGCATTTTAGGGCTATAAAATTGGTATTCCGTCTAATTTCCAAATTTTCATGTGCTATAGCTCACGCCATCTGCATGGGTCAGGACGACCGGATGCAAATCACCTAAAATTTTGTCGGCCCATAAAAAACGACCTAAGAAACTATAGTCATCGCCTCGCTATAATCGTTCCTTTTTAAAGTATTTTAGTGTCATAAAATAGGAATTTCGCCCAATTCCCAGATGTTCGTGTACTATAGCCCATGCCAGTTGCATAGGCTCAGGCGTCCGGGCCCAAATCGCCTAAAATATTGTCACCCATCAAAAATGTACTAAGGAACATTAGTCATTGCCTCGCCATGATCGCTCCTCACTGTTTGCCTTTTTTGGGTCATAAAATTAGAATTTCGCATGCTTTCTAGATTTACGTGTGCTACTGTTCACGCATCTACATAGGTCCAGGCGACAGCACCCAAATCGCCTAAAAATTTTTCCTCCCATAAAAAATGACCTAAGGAACATTAGTCATCTCATTGCCATGACCGTTTCTCATTTTTTAGCATTTTAGGGCCATAAAACTGGTATTTTGCCCGATTTTTGTTCATTGTATGCTCTAACATTGTAGCCAATATTGACATTATTAGCTGCCATATCTTATTTTTCTTTTACTAAGGAAGGAATCAAAACTTATTTGTAACAGATGAATGGATCAAAGCAATTACACAATTTTTGATGTCCCACGTTAGGCACCAAACTATTTAATCATAAAATAATACAGTTAAATTTGTAATGTGATTTATATACAAGTGAATTGATTTAAGCCAAAAATACATAATGAATAAGAACAGAGATAAGATTATTAAAGAAAATACAAGCCTAGCCGACTGTTTAACTTCTCCGATAGCATTGGCAAGAACCAAATTAATAATAAGATAAAGAAAGCAATTTTGTGGTATGAGAGAAGATTATAGCTTTTTCGTACAGAATATTTCGTGTCTATAATGATAGCTAATTCTCCTATTTATAGCTCTATTCAGGGAGACAATATCCCCAAATCAAGCTCCTCTTGAATGAGAATAAAACTGACATTGATGGTTGCATAACGGTTGGCTATAAATGCAGATATTCTCTATAACGGTTGCTCATTGAATATTACCCGATGCTAATACTTTGAACCTTTGTCGTCGACTACTCTATCTTCGGGACTCATCCAGCACTGGTCACATGCTGGCAACCGCTATTGACTATTTGCTGACTCGCATCTTACCCTTCTTCAGCTCCACGTGTCATCTCTTCATTCGTCTAATTGTTACTAACCAATTTTACCGTATACAATTTTTGGCTTTGAGAGAAAGCACCACTCATTATCTATAAATAGAGCAACCTTGGAGAATTGTTCTATGCTCATTGCCACTGGTATAAGCCTTTGAAAGACTTTAGCACATAAAAGTGGTTTTTGATAAAGCTTTTATCAAGAGAGAAGAGAGAAGAAAAAAGTGCTTGTTTTGCTGCATATTTTGTTCTAACCAGCCAACTTCAAATCATATTTTCTGATTCGTTAACCGTTGGATCAGGCTGAATTGAGTGTTCCCAACATTTCGTTTTTGATTTGAATGGTGGAGATCGGATTTGAAGACCCGTAGCATCCGATTTCGAGCCCCAAACAACAACTCTATTTTTGTGATTTCTCCTCTTTATTCAATTGATTTGTTGTTGTTATTATTGCTCCGTGTTTGACACTTGTTATGTAGCTAATTTGGAGAACTTTTATAACCCACATATTATTAAAGTGAATCTTTTTTTTATCTTTATGATCCTGTGATTTTACTTTCAATTTAAAAAGTTTTTCACGTTAAAATTTAATATTTTTTATCTTCATTATTTTCGAGTTTATCCCTTAAGAGACATAATAGAAGAGAATAGCATGGATGTCACTGGTATTGTGGAAAACATAAAGCAACACGATTGCATGAAAAGCCTAATGGAAAGAGAAAAGACAAGAGTGTTGGATTCACTACCTCTTGTCTATTTCGGTACTGTATTTTTCTCCTAACACTAGTATTAATAATTAAACAAAGGGTGAAACAAGTGAATTAATAAGTTGGCAAGTATATTTGTATGTGTTTCATTCTAAAGTGAGAAAATCTTTATATTTTGGTATTGGATTCTCCTTGATTTCACTTTCAGTTTTCATTATTCACCATATATGTATTGCTTCTCCTAAAAAAACAAAAAGAAAACTGTACCAACGATTTTGAAGAAGACACTGAGATGCTTTAACTATTTTGACTTATTGTCTATTTGTCCAAACTTTTTCCAGACAAAAGCACTTTCTTTTCAAAAAAAAATATCTTCTTTCAAAGTTAAGAAAAAAAAAGTGTTACTGTTGACTCAATTTTAAACTGATTACTCGAATATAAACTGTTTTTTACTAAAAATATTTTTGAAATAAGGTGATTGTAGAAATTTGGCCAAACAATCCAAAACTATGGCCCCGTCACCGGTCTCTGGCTCGTTCCCCCATGGGATGGTTGAGAAAGACATTTGTTGAGAAATTATAACGAAATTGCTGAAGAAATTTGATAAAGTTTGTCGGATAGTATCTATTGAGTATCTCACTCGTGACTTATCACTTTCTTCTTTACAAGCAAAAGGTTCCCTGTTAGACTTTGCCAACCAAAACAAGAAACAAATTCCTGAATTTTCATTCTACCTTCCATTTGTTCCTCATTCCACCATCAGAAAGCACATCAACTTCATCAAAACAAAGGAAGCAATGGTCGGTTTTAATGAAGAGATTGAAATGCTTGTAGAGCAACTTGTGACAGGACAACGGCAATTAGATGTGATCTCAATTTTTGGAATGCCAGGACTAGGAAAAACAACTTTGGCTAAGAAGTTGTACGATCATGAAGCTATTTCAAATCGCTTCGATATTCGCTTGTGGTGTTGCTCTTCCCAATCTTATGATAAGAGAGCTCTCTTGTTTGAATTATTGGGTCATATTTGTGAGCTTGATGATATTACCAAAGTAAAAAGTGATGATGAGCTAGCTGAGAAGCTATACAGATATCTGAAGGGAAAGAGGTACCTTATTGTTGTGGATGATGTGTGGAGTTCTAATGCATGGGACGATATAAAGAGACCATTTCCAGATGATAATAAAGGAAGTAGAATTATTTTGACTACTAGACTTGAATCAATCGCCACATATGCCATGATCGATTCGAGTCCTCATCACCTTCGCTTGTTCACGGAAGAAGAAAGTTGGATGCTAATGAAGGAGAAGGTATTCAAAGAAGACAATTACTGTCCTCAAGAACTCGAGGATATAGGTAAGCAAATAGCGATAAAGTGTGGAGGATTACCCCTTGCAATTGTATTGGTAGCTGGTCTTCTTGCAAAAAATGATAAGGAAGTAGTTCACTGGCAAAAAGTAGGGGAAAGTTTGAAGTCAAAAATGCAAGGTTGTATGGATATAGTTGAATCGAGTTACCAGCACTTACCCGTTCATTTGCAAAATTGTTTTCTCTACTTTGCTTCATTTCTAGAGGGTAAAAAAGTTCCCGTTCAAAAGCTGATACGGCTATGGATTGCTGAAAACTTTGTTGAAGCCAGTACTATATCGAAGAGCTTAGAGATGGTTGCAATGGATTACTTGATGGATTTACTTAGGAGCAACCTAGTGATGGTGGCTAAAATAAATTCTTCAGGGGAGCTTAAAGCCGTACATATTCATGATCTAATACACGAATTTAGCTTGATGAAAGCTCGAATTGGAAACTTTTTGCTGAGGATAAATGATCAGCTGTAAGTGAAATCAATTTAATTATGTTTCCACCTTGTTTCTGTTATCATGATAATTAATTAATGGCTTGTGGCTCTAACACATGTTCTCCTTGTTGAACCAGTATTTATATATTTCCATCTTCTAAAGGTCGTTCTGGACGTCTGAATATCTTGGCAACTTCTGGACGAAATATCAACACCTTACGATTCCTTCCAAGTATAAATTATCCTTTGGTTGATTTAGATTTGGCTAAATCCTGGAAATGCCTGAGAGTATTGGATTTGAGTTTCGTAAAGCTGCATAAGACTCATGTAAATGCATTACAATTTCTGATTCATTTGAAGTACTTAGAGCTGCGGCTGTATTCTGATTACATTCCATATACAATATGCAACCTGAAGGAGCTAGAGACATTTATAGTGACCAGAATCTATCGTAATGCCTGCTTTCCAAATTCTGTTTGGGATATGACAAGCTTGAGACATTTGCATGTAAGTTGTCTATATACCTCTCAACTATTTGAGGATCTTAACAACTTAAGAACATGTTCCGATCTAGTTATTGATCCTGGAGTGTGCAACCAGAATTTTATGAAAAGATTACCCAATCTTGAAAAGCTCAGTTGCCAATTATATGGTTCAAGAACCCCTTCTAACAATTTCTTTCCTAGTTTTGACTCTCTCAGTCAATTGAAATCTCTCAAGATTGGTGTCTTTGGGGAATTGGTAGATCCCTATGGTTTTGAAGACTTTTCATATCCGTCAAACCTCAAGAAATTAACTTTAGCACGTCTTGAACTCCCCTGGAGTAGAATCTTAACCATCAGCAGATTATCCAGCCTTAAAGTTCTGAAACTAGAAAGAAATGCCTTCAAAGGGAGACAATGGGATATTAAGGATGGGGAGTTTCCTAACCTTAAAATTTTGAAATTGAAGAAACTAGGACTCTCAGAATGGACTGCCTCTGATGACTCGTTTCCCAACCTAGAGAAAGTACTAGTGCAATGGTGTTGGAACCTAGAGGAAATCCCCGACAGTTTTGGAAGCAAGTGTACAATGCAACTGATTGAGGTAAGATCATGTCGCTACTCTGTTGTAAATGCTGCCCTCATATCGTTTAAATCGATCGTTACGTAACGACGAAAAGTGCCACTGTATGGAACGGCCGATTTGGTGTGGTCGCATCGTTTCCTTATTTTTTCCATCATCCTGCCTTTTTAATTATTAAATAATCCTATCTTATCCTTTACCCTGTCTTTTTATATAATAATATTATTTCGTACCTTACTTTTTCTTTATAATAATGCAAGTTTATTCTTAATATTGTAGGTTCATGACATCATAAAACGACGACAAACAATACAATCTATCCAAGCATTGTATAGATCAAAATAATAAAGTACAATGCAATACAATACAATATAATATTATATGACACATTATGAAACGATACATGATAATAATCCAAACAAGTTGTTAGTAACTTTCACACTTTGTGAAAAAGAGGTACAGTAGAAGGGAAAGACTAGTCGTACAAGCTAATTGAGTTAACATCTTGCCGCTCAGGGGCGGACCCATCTTGACCCATATGAATCCGCTTCATCGAAAATTATATAGGTTATACTATTTTTAGTATTTTATTAGTTTTAGTGTACGTGTGTTGCACATGTTCTTCGCATCGATTAATAAAAACTAAACACAAGAAGAACAAATTAATGATAAATAGCACTTGATACTAAAAGAAAGTAAATGTCACATTTGTATTAGATATAGTTGAAGGTTCATACGCACAACACTAACCGAAAGGTCGTTCAGTCATTAATCAGTTAAATTGTACCTAATTTATAAAATAACAATAATTATGTACCTTAAAATCTAAGAGCAGTTTCAATCTTTGTTAACGTACTCCTTTGTTCTAATATTCTAGATCTTTCATTTAGGAACTGTAACTTGACCCATATTATTTATTAAACTAGTAAATTTATCCGCGCTTTCACGCGGTAGTATAAGATAATATTAATAAATTTGAAAAGGATTTATTTTTATAAATTTAATTGAGATAGAAGATGTAAAAATAAGTTCTTAATATGCATACAAATATTAATTCCTTAAACTTTATTAAGCCACAAACATAAAATATTTTTAAAGTCATGTAAGGGTATGATTCTATAAGAACCACACATATCCGTGCATACGTAAATCTGATACAAGCTGATACATATTTAATCAAAATTAATGAGCTTTTCAGTTTCTTAAAAATTGAAAAGAAGTTTCAACAAAATTTGAACTATTATTGCTTTTAGACATAATAAATGTCTTTGTCTAACATTTGTTTGACCTGTGCATCCCACAATTATATTTGCATATAGATTTTTCGAAAGTTCCTCCTGTGATCTACTTGTAAGCATGAAACTTAGGTTGTTATTCTCTTCTTTAGCTTTTTTTCTTTTCGATTCTCCTCTCTTTAATAATACTTTATAGCATTATCTCAAAGAAAAAGTCATCATTTATGGAGTATATGGATGGAGAGATGGTTTTGGTCTAACAATTATTATCATCACTATAAAGAACTGATACATAAAGGTATTATTATATATAGTAGAATGTTATTTTTTTTTTTAATTTTATCTTTGATTTATTTTAGTTCCTCTAGAGTACTAAAATTTATAGTTTTTCACCTTCTTATTCTTGGAATCAAACAATCATGTTCATATAATATCCTATAATTTCTACTTTGTTATTCCATGAAATACTCTTTATTTTCTGCAAAAACTTAAAAATGCACTTGTTACTCTAAATAACTTCTAGCAACATGCACCCGATCAGTCCCTTCAAATTGAGGGGGGAATTTTTTTAGAAGGAGATATATAATCCAATTCTTTCTCTCTCCTTCTTCCCTAGTGAAACAACCTCCATTTTTTGTCCAAAACGTTTGCAAAATCCTCAAAATTTTACTTTTTTCCTCTAGTATCTAATCAATACTCCTGAAATGTTTGTATAAAAATTTATATGTATGAAGATAACATGTATTTCGTGATAAATCACACAATATTAATAATTTTTACAAGTAATCACTTGAAAATATTCTCATTAATTACATATCAGGCGTTGTCATGTGTTACTCATTCACGTTCAAAATATCAACAAAATTGTGTGTTACACTATTAAAAATTATTGGGACAAAAGGGGACAAAATTTTAATAAAGCTAGGAACAGTGGAGGCAATAAAGAATCGAAAGTACTCCATCCACGATATTGAAAATAAACTACTGCTACATCCTAAGAAATTAAAGAATGATAGACGACAACTATTTGATACAAAATTCAATAAACAAAATAAGGCAAAAAAAATCTCCTTTGGTTTGGGATATGGATACCAAGGAAGAGAAAAAGTTATACTATATGATAACATTAATGCAAAATTCAAAGAAGTTTAAAAGTTCATCCCGGTAATTTTACTTATTGGTCAATGACGAAAGGGATATACATAAAAGCAGAAACATACTTTTTAGAGAAAAAGAAGCTGAGAAGTCGTTGTAGGACAAGAGGGAGAAGAGCAGTTAATTAGCAACTAAACATACATCTGATTTACCAACTAAATTACTCTGATCAAACATCTTTGTCCAGAACATAGAAGTCCTCATTCTCTTTCTCAAAGCTTTCTTATTTAATTTGTTCTATCCATTGGGTATCTTCACCGGTTAAAAAAGAATAGTTTCAAGGACAGAAGAAATGTTAAACAAAAGGAAAATACAATTGCACGCAGAAGAGGAACCCAAAAGAAGGGAATATATGGAATTCAGGAAGGCTGCATTTACAAAGAAGAAGAGCAGACTATGAAACGTTTTTAGACGTGGTAACATGTAACGTAAATTTTCTAATATGATTTAAAATAGTTGAAGAAACAACAGTTCTTCACTATAATGCACAATAACTAATAAGTAATTACTTCTTGTAAAGACTTTAATATATGGGAAGTGGAAGAGATATTTTATAATTAGGAAAAGGCAAAAAAAAGAAGAAAAAAAATAAATAGGGTGCCAAATCACTTTGTCTGTTCCCGCAATTATATTTATATATAGATATAGATTCATCTTATAAAAATGGATATTAAGATTTTAAAAACAAGGGCATGCGTATTTTTGAATGTTTCTCATTTCGAATGCCAATTTCGAAAATTGGAATAAATTTTTAAAAACCTTAGAAGGATGTTTAATGCTTTTCTTATGACGCCATATAAGAAAATAATGAAGTAGTTTTATTAATTAAAAATTACCTATTCCAATTTTAACCATACACGTATATGATAAATTTCATTAACTAATTATAAGAAGACAAACAATGAATACAATTTTTTTTAACAAAAAAAGACTTCTAAACCTAAAAGGAATACAATATATTAGAAACTTTTCTAATATGAATTTTTAATGATCCCCCCAATTTTTATTTCTTTTTCTTTTTTCTTTTTTTTTCCTCTTTGCAATTTTTGTTTCTTTTTATTTTATTTTATATTTGTAACCTTTTTTCTGTGAGAAAAACCCATAAACTGGAGAATAAAGAATCCAAAACCAAAAGGAGTTCAAAATGCTTTTTTACCTAATATATTTATTTAATCTGTCAAAATTTTATTAACAAAAAAAAAAAAGCTCCTAAATCTAAAAGGAGTACAAAGTCTTGGAAAGTAAATTTGCAATGTTTTTTAAAGCTGATATCGTTATGAAACTTCCCCTTTTAAATCAGTCTTTCCTTTCCTTTTTACTCTTTGTAATTTTTGTTTCTTTCCTTTTTCGTCTTTGCAATTATTTGGATGAAAAAAAACCCACTAAAATGGAGAAATAAGAAATTTATGTGAACTTTAAATTTTAATTCCTTCAATCATTTAATTGCGCATGTCCGACATTTCTTGGAAGTTCTAAATTTATAACAATCCCCATGAACAATAACTCTATATATGATATTGATATCAATGCAATTATTGAGAATAAATACGCACATAATTTTTATACTCCCCCGTTTTACTTTTACTTGTCCACTATTAACTTTGCGCGCCTGTTAAGAAATAATAAATAAAATACATAATTTACCATAATACCAATATTTATTGGTGTATAGTCTTAATGGAATTGGAAAATGATTTGGAATGAGTAATTAATGCTAAGGGCAAAACAAAAAAAAATAAATTATTTTTCTCTCCGTTATGCAAAAAGTGACAAGTAAAAATAAAAATTTATTTTTAGAATACTTGACAACTAAAAGTGAACGGAGGGAGTAAATAGTAAGATATAATGGCAAACCTGCTCAATATAGATATTGCAGAAGCAAGACACTATGAATAAAGAAAGACTTAGAACTTGCATAGTATTACAACAAAGACACGATAATAAACCTATGAAATAATAATTATTTTATTGGTAGATGAGACTCCTAAATCTAAAGTACGTACGTTGCGCGTGTATCCTATCTCGATGAATAATATTTTTTATTTCTCATAAATATTATATTAAAAACTATGATTGACTCATAAAATAAAAAAATTTAAGCTTATGAAATTGATGAACATTGATCCTATATAGGTAACTCAATAAATTATGAAATTCTACCATATAGAAGTCCTCAATCATCATTCCTTATATTCAACTTAAACTAAGTTTTACTTTTATAATTTTATCTGCTCAACTTCACAAGTAACCATGTGTAGACAATAAATTTGCGTCAAGAAATAAAATCAAGACCGAAAAATATCGCAACAATCGTAGTATTTTATTTCGAATATTTGAGTGTACAATCTCTACGATTCCTCTGATTCTACTTTTCTAGTATAAATTCAAGGGCCTTTGAGCTTGATCTTGAATTGTAATTTGATTTATCCGTCGTGAATACTTTGATTGTTGCCACGAATTTTATCACAAACAAGTAGCCTTGATCTTGAACGCCTTGTATTTGATGTGACTTCGTTCTTGATTCTTGAATACTTGAATTGTTCTTCGTTCTTGAGCTTGAACTTAATTGCTTGAACTTGAACTTGATTTCTTGAACTTGAACTTGGTTGCTTGAAGCCTGAAACTTGTAGAGAAATTTGCGGCGTTTGATCCACGAGCTCTCTCTTGCTTCTTGTTATAACTTCTGGTCCCTTTTCTGAGTTATGAAGACCCCTATTTATAGTTGTGAAAGTGAGGAGTTATGATAAGAACAAACTTTTTACGACCAATCAAATTGCAGTGTGACATGTCCGCATTCGATTGGCCAGAA